CACTGAAGCTTTTCCCACACTCAAGACATTTATATGGTCCCTCTCCTGTATGCACTCTCTGATGGGCAGTAAGATTTGAGCTCCGATAGAAGCTTTTCCCACAGTCCAAACATTCATAAGGTTTCTCTCCTGTGTGAGTTCTCTGATGTATAATAAGGGTTGATAGTACACCAAAACTTTTCCCACACTCGAAACATTTATAGGGTCTCTCTCCTATGTGCACTCTCCGATGGGTAGTAAGATTTGAACTCTGATTGAAGCTTTTCCCACAGTCCAAGCATTTATAGGGTCTCTCTCCAGAATGGATTCTACCATGTTTAATAAGATCTGAGCGCCGACTGAAGCTCTTCCCACATTCCAAGCATTTATATGGTTTCTTTTCCTTGGGATTTGTCTGCTGGGCTGTGGTTTCCTGGAGATCCTTGCCTCCTCCCCCACATTCAATTACTTCATTCATTTTCTTCCTTTGACGGTTTCCCAACTTCCTCTCTGACCTGTGCCGATTACTCCAGGCTTTTCTCTGTTCCCAGTACTGGGAAAAATTCCCTTCAGCTCTTCTCAAAAACCTCCCCTGCAGTTCCACTTGGTCAGGACCTTCCTGCTGTGGATTCCCCTCCTCGTTCTCATTCATTGTCTCATCACCTGCTGGGGAAGAGAGAGAGAGTCCAGGCAGGAGTCATTGCCTGGGCTGGTAGAAAGGAAAGAATAGCCAAGAGAGAAAACACAATGCAACGTGTGATGGGGTCGGCACCCGCCTCTCATGGGCATGTCTGCGTTCTTTATCCTCTGGTGACCCCTTTCAGTGGTTCTCAATCGGTTTCTTCAACAACTCAGCCCTCTGGCTGAGTCACACACAGTGTCTGCGCGTGAACCAGAACACAGTCCACCAGGGCCTAGCCCAGTACCACCCTGGTGCTGTTTCTCTAGCCCTGCCTGGGCTCAGTCCTAAAGTAGTCTCAGCCCTGGTAGGGGGCTGTATCCCCAGGGCTTCCCCCTTGGAGACACTATTTTCCTGGGGTCCTCCCCAGGCTCAGTCCTCACCCAGTCCCTTCAGCCAGACAGGAGCCCCTCAATGCTCCTCTGGTTGCTGCTTGCAAACAGTCCTTAGCTCGGTCTGAGCAGCCAGCCAGGAGCCTCTCACTCCCCCGGTCCCTGCCCCCACTGAGCTGTTGTTGTGCTGCAGTTCCTTCAGGCAGCTGGGCACAGAGTCCTTTTCCTCCAGCTCCCAGTAGCCGCTCAATCCAACAACTCTCTCTCTTCTCTGATCTGCTGCTCCTTTTTATATGTCCCCCGGTCCCTGATTGCTTGCTTCCTGTGCAGCCACTCTAGCCTGCTCGGAGGATCTCTCTACTGCTCCCTTCCTGGAATGGGTGTGGCAGAGCCCCGAGGTCTCCAGCAGGGGGCTCTTGGGCTTAGTCCACCCCCTCACACAATGACTGTTGGGGAGACTGAGAAATTGGATTCTGCCTCCACGCCCCATCCAAACACTCCCAGGGAAGTGAAATCAGGGAGAAAACTCCTGACAGGGAACAGGGTGGGTGGGAAGCCATGAGCGATATCTGCCATGATACGACACCTGCTGACCAGCGCCTGACCTGGGTGAGATGAGGCAGAACTGAGGGGGCTCACACCACATTTTAAGGATTTTCATCTTTTTCCTCCATTTGCCAGATAGTTTCTGTGTCAGTGTCACTGACTCCTCACCTCTGCGGGTGCCTCTTGGGATCTTCCTTTCCTTGGAGTCCTGGAGATCCGGGACCCACGGCTCTTCCCCTGCTTCCAGCCGGGTGATCAGGGCAGGTTTGGGAATGGGGAGTCCTGCTCAGGGGTGAAATCAGGCATGAGCAGAGTGCACTGAGGATTGGGGCAGGATTTGTCACAAATTGAGTTTAAACTGACCCCATGATTTGCTGGGGGGTTGTGGGGTCTGAACAGATGGGAACATAGTCACTGAGCCCCTGTGGGAGAGGCAGATCTCTGGGGGAGGGGGGAAGTTGTCACACCCTCCCTACGAGTGTTCAGGATCTGTGTGTTCTGGGGGACTTGCTGAGGCACACAAAGCTCTGATGTTAAATCTGTTGACTTGAATTTATAGGCTAGTTTATTATGGCTCACCAATGGTCTGACCAGAAAACATTTAGGGTTTTGTCCCAATTCAGGCTACAGGGTTAAAAAACTCAGAGAGTTCAACACCATGAGAGGATCCTCCACTTGTGTGGCAAGGACACGTATTCTGAGGAGAATATCAAAATATGAAGATTGTTACAATAAATGCTATTAAACACAGAGTGACAAAGTAGTAATTCAATTCTATGGCACCTTGGGGTAACATTTTCTATTCTAAAAGACTACGCAAACTAGCATACTCACACCCTTCCCTGAAGACCTGGGAGTGGGAGACAGAGGACCAGCCTCAACTCTGGCCTGCCTGATGAATTCAATGGTCCAGGCTTCCCCATTTGGTAGGGATCAGGGTTGAGTGTTAAGTAGCTCTGCTATACTGAGCTGATAGCTTGATAGAATATAGGAAAGAATGACCCCTCTGCATGGTTGTTTACCCTCGTATAGGGTCCTGGCCCCATTCTAATCAGGGCCCAAACATCATTTCCTCATCCAGATAAATCTTCGGGTACACTTACTCTTAGGCTAACATATTATGACATGTATTCATATGCATTGGTATCGATTATCTCATCCCCAAAACCGTTACCTCTGGCCTAAATCATGACTTCCATGTTCTGTGGTGTACCTTGTGCTTACTGGTCTGTTCAGTTCTTTGTTTGGTTCCCCATCAGTCCCCCAAAGTCAAAAGGGGTAACCGGTAGGCCATTTATCTATGTCAAAGGTTACAAACACTTATACTAACTTGCTCTAGCTAATCATACAGGAAAGGTTCCCTGTGTTACAGCCAACTATTATGGGTAACATACTGGAATTCAGCATAAACCAAACCCAATAAAATAACAATATAATCAATCAAACCACTGAAGAAAACACATTATGCAATACAGCAAAATAGCAAACTGGCCTTATGGACTACAAACCCCTGCCCATGTCTAAACCTCCAGAGCCCACACCCTCCCCATAGATGGAGCTAGTCCCATGAAGGGCAATGCACAGAGATACTGTCTGTGAGTGAGAATTAATGCAGATAAGACAGCGGTTCTCAAATTCTGGGTCAGGATCCCAAAGTGGGCTGTGACCCCATTTTAATGGGGGTCCCCAGGGCTGGCATCAGACTTGCGGGGGTCCGAGGCTGAAGCCAAAGCCTGAGTCCCCCCAGTCCGGGGCTGAAGCGAAAACCTGAGCCTCCCCACCTGCTCCCCCCATCCAGGGCTCAAGCCAAAGCCCGAGCTCCTCCACCCTGGGCTGAAGGTCGGATTCAGTCTCAGGCTTTAGTTCCCCCTCCCGGGGCCGTGTAGTCGTTTATTGTCAGAAGGGGTCATGGTGCAATGAAGTTTGAGAACTGCTGAGAAAGGATAACGCACCGCTTCTGCACTCATGAGAGCTGGAGGGATGGGTGTGAATTAGCATGTCCATTACGTTCACACAGGAGACTGGATTAGATGACCTCTTGAGATCCATTCCAGTCCTATGATTTTATGACTCCCCTATCCCATTGGAGGGGGTTTGGAGGTGAGTGGCTCTCTCACACTGGAGCTGTGGACTATGTGATCCATTCCCCTCTAATCTAACTGACCAGGGAAGAACCTGACCAGATGCAGAAATACAGGCCCCGTGGCTTCAAATAGCTGAGGGGACAGGAATCCTTACCCAGCGAGGTCACAGTCTCATAGTTCTCCTGCATGACATCCCTGTAGAGGGCTCTCTGAGCGGGGTCCAGCAGAGCCCCCTGCCCCGCGGTGAAATACACAGCCACCTCCTCGAAGCTCACTGGCATCTGAAACAACAGGTGCCCCCCACTCAGACCCTGGTGCCCCAGCCACAGCCCCACTATTCATGGGGGAAGAAGCACAACACCGGGACAGCTCTGGGAGGGCCAGAGGAGCAGAATCCCACCCCCACCCTGCTCAGAGTGGCCAGAAGGCTGCAGGGAACAGAGAGGAGGAGAGAGCTCCTTGTCCTTCCAGCAGACGGAGGAGGGCAGGGTCTTCTCATTTCCCACCCACCTACTAGGCACAGGGTGATGTGGGAGGCAGAGCTCAGTGCAGGGAACAGGGACAGGAATCCCAGCACCTCCCATTTGTGTTTCACTGCAGTCTCTGCCCAGGGGGTTCAGGCTCCAGCATTTTGCTGCTTTCCCAGCCGTGTCTGAGGGGGGATCTGTTTACTTTTTCAGAAATGGGGGAATGTTCACCCCCCCACCCGCAACAATGGGCCTGTTCATAAAAGAGCCCCTAGGCTGAGCATGTCCCAGCAGGTTTATCACACCCTGTCCCCCTTCCTGCCTCACCTTGTGTATTTCTTGCCCCTCCCCGCTCTACCTCAACCCTCCCCAGCAGCTCCCCCCAAAATCCCCTACCTGAGTTGGATCCACCACAGCCATTTCCCTGCCCCAGCCCCTAGGAAGATGGGACGATCTGGAGTGATCTGGGGTCATTATTCTGCAACCTGTCAGGGTGAGAAGAGCAATTGGGGAGGTTTCTGAATTAGCGTTATTCCATTTCACACCCCGATTCCCCCTAGGCTCTTTAAAGAACATAAGAATGGCCCTACGGGGTCAGACCAAAGGTCCATCTAGCCCAGTATCCTGTCTTCTGACAGTGGCCAGTGCCAGGTGCCCCAGAGGGAATGAGCAGAACAGGGAATCATCGAATGATCCATCCCCTGTCGCTCATTCCCAGCTTCTTGCAAACAGAGGCTAGGGGCACCATCCCTGCCCATCCTGGCTAATAGCCATTGATGGACCTATCCTCCATGAACTTATCTAGTTCTTTTTTGAACCCTGTTATGGTCTTGGCCTTCACAACATCCTCTGGCAAGGAGATCCACAGGTTGACTGTGCGTTGTGTGAAGAAATACTTCCTTTTATTTGTTTTAAACCTGCTGCCTACTAATTTCATTTGGTGACGCCTAGTTCTTCTGTTATGAGAAGTAGTAAACAATACTTCCTTATCTACTTTCTCTACACCAGTCATGATTTTAGACCTCAATCATATCTCCCCTTAGCCATCTTTTTTCCAAGCTGAAAAGTCCCAGTCTTATTAATCTCTCCTCATACGGAAGCCGTTCCATACCCCTAATCATTTTTGTTACCCTTTTCTGAACCTTTTCCAATTCCAATATATCTTTTTTGAGATGGGGCAACCACATCTACACGTAGCATTCAAGATGTGGGCGTACCATGGATTTATATAGGGGCAAGATGATGTTTACTGTCCTATTATCAATCCCTTTCTTGATTATTCCCAGTATTCTGTTCGCTTTTTTGACTACTGCTACACATTGAGTGGATGTTTTCAGAGAACTATCCACAATGACTCTGTGATTTCTTTCTTGAGTGGTAACAGCTAATTATTTTATATGTGTAGTTGGGATTATGTTTTCCAATGTGCATTACTTTGCATTTATCAATATTAAATTTCATCTGCCATTTTGTTGTCCAGTCATCCAGTTTTGAGAGATCCTTTTGTAACTCTTCACAGTCTGCCTGGGTCTTAACTATCTTGAGTAATTTTGTATCATCTGCAAATTTTGCCACCTCACTGTTTACCCCTTTTTCCAGATCATTTATGAAAATGTTGAATAGGACTGGTCCCAGAAGAGACCCCTGGGACATAGGTGCCGACTCCATGGGTGCTCCGGGGCTGGAGTACACAAGGGGAAAAATTGGTGGGTGCTCTGCACCCACCAGCAGCTCCCCATCCTGCCCCGCCCCAGCTCACCTCCACTCCGCCTCCTCCCCTGAGCACGCCGCGGCTCCGCTTCTCCCTCTTCCCTCCCAGCGCTTCCCGCCACGAAACAGCTGATTCGTGGCAGCAAGCACTGGGACGGAGAGGAGAGGAGGGGGAACGCGGCACGCTCGGGGAAGAGGTGGGTCCCGGGTGAGGATTTGGGGAAGGGGTCCAATAGGAGCAGGGAGGGGGCGGAGTAGGGCAGGGATTTTGGGGAAGGGGTTGGGATGGGGTGGGGCAGGAGGGGGCGGGGCGGAGCCGGGAGCGAGCACCCACCGGGGCCTGGAAAAGTTGGTGCCTATGCCCTGGGGGGCACCACTATTTACCTCTCTCCATTCTGAAAACGGATCATTTATACCTACCCTTTGTTTCCTCTCTTTTAACCAGTTACCAATCCATGAGAGGACCTTCCCTCTTATCCCATTGCAGCTTACTTAGATTTTCAGAAAGCCTTTGACAAGGTCCCTCACCAAAGGCTCTTAAGCAAAGTACACTATATTCATTGGATCCCCTTTGTCCAAATGCTTGTTTACCCCCTCAAAGGATTCTAGTAGATTGGTGAGGCATGATTTCCCTTTACTAAAACCATGTTGACTCTTCTCCAATAAATTATGTTCATCTATGTGTCTGACAATTTTGTTCTTTATTATAGTTTCAACCAGTTTGCCCGGTACTGAATCGGGTTTACAGGCCTGTAATTGCCAGGATTACCTCTGGAGCCCTTTTTTTAAAATTGGCATCACATTAGCTATCCTCCAGTCATCTGGTACAGAAGCTGATTTAAATGATAGGTTACAGACTACACTTAGTAGTTCTGCAATTTCACATTTGAGTTCCTTCAGAACTCTTGGGTGAATCCCATCTGGTTATGGTGACTTATTGCTATTTAGTTTATCAATTTGTTCCAAAACCTCCTCTAATGATACCTCAATCTGGGACAGTTCCTCAGATCTGTCACCTAAAAAGAATGGCTCAGGTTTGGGAATCTCCCTCACATCCTCAGCCATGAAGACCGATGCAAATAATTCATTTAGTTTCTCTGTAATGGCCTTATCGTCCTTGAGTGCTCCTTTAGCATCTCATAAGAACATAAGAACGGCCATACTGGGTCAAACCACAGGTCCATCTAGCCCAGTATCCTGTCTACCGACAGTGACCAATGCCAGGTGTCCCAGAGGGAGTGAACCTAACAGGTAACGATCAAGTGATCTCTCTCCTGCCATCCATCTCCACACTCTGACAAACAGAGGCTAGGGACACCATTCCTTACCCATCCTGGCTAATAGCCATTAATAGACTTAACCTATGAATATATAACCCTGTTATAGTCCTAGCCTTCACAACCTCGTCAGGCAAGGAGTTCTACAGGTTGACTGTGCAGTGTGTGAAGAAGAGCTTCCTTTTGTTTGTTTTAAACCTGCTGCCCATTATGGGAACAAGTAAATAACTTTTCCTTATTCACTTTCTCCATATCACTCATGATTTTATATACCTCTATCATATCCCCCCTTAGTCTCCTCTTTTCCAAGCTGAAAAGTCCTAGCCTTTTTAATTTCTCCTCATATGGGACCCATTCCAAACCCCTAATCATTTTAGTTGCCCTTCTCTGAACCTTTTCTAATGCCAGTATATCTTTTTTGAGATGAGGAGACCACATCTGTATGCAGTATTCAAGATTTGGGCGTACCATGGATTTATATAAGGGCAATCTTGATCATCCAGTGGCCCCACTGGTTGTTTAGCAGGCTTCCTGCTTCTGGTATACTTAAAATTGTTTTTGCTATTACTTTTTGAGTCTTTGGCTAACTGTTTCTCAAATTCTTTTTGGCATTCCTAATGGTATTTTTATACTTCATTTGCCAATGTTTATGCTTCTTTCTATTTTCCTCACTAGAGTGAACTACCACTTTTTAAAGGATGCCTTTTTGCCTCTCACTGCTTCTTTTACTTCGTTGTTTAGCCACAGTGGCTCTTTTTTGGTTCTCTTACTGTGTTTTTTTAATTTGGGGTATACATTCAAGTTGAGCCTCTATTATGGTGTCTTTAAAAAGTTTCCACGCAGCTTGCAGGGGTTTTACTTTTGGCGCTGTACCTTTTAATTTCTGTTTTACTAACCTCCTCATTTTTGTGTAGTCCCCCTTTCTGAAATTAAATGCTACCGTGTTGGGCTGCTGTGGTGTTTTCCCCACCACAGTGATAAATTTAATTATATTATGGTCACTATTACCAAGCGGTTCAGCTATATTCACCTCTTGGACCAGATCCTGTGCTCCACTTGGGACTAAATCAAGAATTGCCTCTCGTCGTGTGGGTTCCAGGACCAGCTGCTCCAAGAAGCAGTCATTTAAGGGGTCAAGAAACTTTATCTCTGCATCCCGTCCTGAGGCGACATGTACCCAGTCAATATGGGGATAATTAAAATCCCCTATTATCAATGAATTTTTTATTTTAATAGCCTCTCTAATCTCCCTGAACATTTCACAGTCACTATCATCATCCTGGTCAGGTTGTCAGTAATATATCCCTACTGCTATAGTCTTATGGAATTATTATCCAGAAAGACTCTATGGTACCATTTGATTCATTTATGATTTTTACTTCATTTGATTCTACACTTTCTCTCACATATAATGCCACTCCACCACCAGCACGACCTGTTCTGTCCTTCCGATATATTTTGTACCCTGGTATTACTGTATCCCATTGATTACCTCATTCCACCAAGTTTCTGTGGTGCCTATTACATCAATATCCTCATTTAATATGAGGCACTCTAGTTCACCCATTTTATTTAGTCTTCTACCATTGGTAAATAAGCACTTTAAAAACTTGTCTCCTTTTAGCTGTTTGCCATTACACAATGTAATTGAATGGGAATCTTTTTATTTGACTGTTTCTGATCAGACCCTGCCCGTATTTTATCATTTTCCATTCTCTTGTCCTCACT